TAAAGTGGAGATATTCCGCTGGAGAATATCTTGAGATTGGGAAGGAAATATCGGCATAGACCATCTGGGAGGCTGCGGTAAAGAAGATCCTGGAAATATCAGCAAATGGATAACAGACGACCCGGCCTGGAGTCGAACCAGGATCTCCTGCTCAATTGCAAGCGTTCCAGTGGCAAAGTGGGAGCAGACGCAACCCCTGTGCACCGGACCCTTGTTAGTACTGACCAGCTTGAGGCCAAGTGTCACACGAGCGAAGCCACGGAAACCCAACATGGATGTTGAGGGCAAGAGAGGGGCGTGTGAATTCCGGGTGACACGCATCATTTCCGCATTCGTGCTTGCCATCAACCACCACTGCAATGTTGAGCCTCCACACCCTTCCAGGTCCCTTGGGCCCAAAAATGGACGCTGCAATGAAGCCTACGCGAGTCCGCGAGCACTAGGCATGCATTCGCCACCGTAACGCGCAGACCCACAAAATCGTCGCGGATGTACACACTGGCTGGTGGCAGATTCTGAGATTCGACTCGGACTCTCTGGACTGCTGCCCTGTGTATCCCGAACATATGTGTTTGACGCGGCTCCTCTTCGCGATTTCCTGCTCCCGCATCGACGACGTCTCCGTCTCTCATGTGCTCGATCCGATTTGGCGCGCTCCCCTCCAGCCTATTTAAGCTACCCCCCCTCCCCCTCCGACATCCCGCCTCTTCCTTCGACGCGCTTGACTTTTGCATCTCCGCCTCAAATCCTGTGTCCGCCACTTCCCCTGTGCCTACCATAGCCCTTTCTCTCTCCCTCCTGCGCGCGCCGACTCTCATTTACCTCTATCGGCCAATCCCATCGCCTCCCTCTCCCACGAATCCATCCCTTCGTCATGCTGCTCTACATTGGCACCGGCCTCGAAACTGATACGCGTCGCCCACCTCCGAAGACAAGTAAGGATGCTGTACATACTCTCGCGTCACCCTCTTCTCAACTTCCCATACTCGCACTCCTTCTCCCGCTTTCATACCTCGTCTTCCACGTCGCCCGTTCCCAGATCCCTTTTCGCCACCCCTACTCCCCCACCATTCTATGTCCCCGTCAACACCCCGACCCTTCCTCGCCCTTCAAATTCTCCCCTCTTCAGCGATTCGTACCACCTTCATGATCATCCACGGCTACCCCCTTCAGCGCGATTCGGCTTACCCTTGGTCAACCTTTGTCTCGGCGGTCTCTTGTACGCGCATACCGCTTTCCGCTTTACCTCCCCTACTCGCGTCCAGTCTACACCATCCCTTTCGGCCGCTCCCTCAATCAGCCTGCCCCACCCGCGTCAAGCCTTAACCATCCCATCGTCCTCACCCCATTCCTTAACACCACCTCCCTCCACTTCCCCCTCCCGCCTGCAACGCCCGAAGACATCACTCCTGAACTGCGTGTGATTAGGGCACTCGCTACAACTCGATGTCCTTTACACGCAGAACGCAGCACGCAAACGTACGGAACAAGTCGTATCCCTATCCGCGCTTCCCTTGCCACCTCACCGCCCTCCTCCCGGCTCCCCCTTCGTCGTACCCCTCACCCCGCTTCGCATGTTCTCCCCGCTCCGCGGGCTCTCCGTCCCGTTTGGATCCGTTTCTTCTTCCTCGGCGTACGACTTTTCGCACCAAGTCCCAGCGATCCATCACGCACTCCGTGGTTCCTACCAGGGAGTGGGACGAGTTATGGATGGAGGACGCGAGATTTATAATGGGAATCAGGCATTCGAAGAGGACTGGTATCGAGCGGACCGCGGACTTGCGGGTCCTGGCGATTGCGTGCTTCCGAGGAGGCGGTATTCGAGGAGGTGGCAGGAGTTGTGGACGAGGTCGACAGAGGTCGACACGGGAGGGGATTGCGGGGACGGCGCGCGCGGGTGAAGATGATAACGATGCCGGTGTTGGCGGGGGCAGGGTGGGAGGCTGGGGCGCGCGGGACCCGATCGCAGATGTACTACGCGTTGCGTAGCATACAAATTTTCCTTTCGCTTAATGAAATCAATTCCCCAGAACTCTGCCTCGATTTCCTGACGTTGTGTCGGCGCTGCTACATGTGGTCGTCCTCGTCGCATGTCGTCCTGGACGATACTATATCTCGGATTGGGAGAATTAAGTTTTTTCCCCGCTGAAATACATTCACGCCGCCTCCGCCCTCACCTCCTCACCTCCATCCTGCTCCAACAGCACCGTATCCACCCGCGGCGCCCTCCGCTCCCCCTCCAGCAACACCCGCTCCATCTCCCACGCCGCCTTCCTCTGCGCGCGCTTCCGCGCCTCGTCCGTCCACATCTGCGCGCTCCTCATCGTCACCGCGCCATGAATGCACAACGCGCGCTGCAGCACAGTGGTCACCGGCTGCCACGGGTCGTCCGCCTTCTTGCTCCGCGGGAGCAGTACAAAGGCCGGGGACGCGTTCTCCAGTACGCGCGCGGCGATCCATTCGGGCTCACGCGCCATGTCCTCGCGCCATTCCTTGCGCCCCTTAAGGAGGTGCTGCGCGAGGCGGATGTGCTTGTGTGGACGCGGGTGGGCGGCGGCGATTCGCCAGGCGAGCGGCGTGAGGACGGCGGCTTCAGCGGTTTGCAGGAGCTGCCTGTGATAGCGTTTTTGATTCACGCTCGGGCTGGTGGGTGGGCGTCTCAGAGACAGGGCACGCAGGACGACGAGGGCGGCGGGGTAGTCTTGTAGACGCATGAATGCGCGCAAAGAAGTAATAAGTAATGCCTCCTCGGTGTCGATGCGGTGGACCTCTGCGTGTTTTGAGAGATCTGCGGAGGCGGAGGAGGGGACGAGGAAGGCGGTGTGCATGTGCGCGTACAGCTGGCGCGGGGTGCAGTCTTTCAAGATGCGCTGAGCGAGGGGGAGAGGTGCAGGGAGCTTTGGGGAGTGGCCGAGGGCGCGGAAGGCGGCGAGATAGTAGCCGGCGGCGGGAGGGCGGGGCGCGGCGGGCCGAGTGCGGGTACGGGGCCGGGGCGGAGGGGTCGGGACGGCGGTGGCGAGTGCACGGGTGTGGCCAGGGATGGGCGCGTTGAGGCGCAGACGGCACACGGCTGAGCAGATCGACATGGCGGGAGCAGATGATTGGGCGCTTGTTTGATGGCGCAACGTAAGTGATGATAGGCGCGCATAAATCCTGTTGAACTGGATTTACGAGGTTCTTGAAATAATCGAGTAGGCTATAGAGAGGTCGTGTTTTTGAAATGAGAATCTTTATGATGCCCTTGCGGCCACGCCAAAAAAGCCTAACATCACAGCCTTATTATGTGAACGGAGGGAATCGAACCCGCCCACCAAGTCGACGTTGATCATCCCAATTTCCAGGCGATGTGCCATGCACGACGTTCGCTTTCCTCGATTTGTTGAGGAGCCGTTAAGCACTACTTGGTTTTTTTTTCAATCAACCGAAGAAAAAACGGCTGACGAAGTTGAAGTCTGATCCAGTCAAAGTCTTCTTCAGTTGGAATACCGCGTGATTATACCGCAGGCCTTGAGCAAAATAGAGAGTTTGGGACGCGAGCAAGTCCTCTCATGGTCTGGTGGGAAAAAGACACGAACCTCCCTCATACGCGGATGCGGGGAATCGAACCCAACAACTGCATGATTAATCGAGGTAGCACCAGTGACCCATGCACATGGTCCACCGTTCTGAATCTACTCGACCCCGTCGTGAGCACCGGCTGCGTTAGCTTGAAAACCCAAAAACAACGAAGAAAAATACTTCGCAGGCTGCGGAGGCGGGGAATCGAACCCCAGGAGCTGCTTTCAACTGGATGAGAAGCATCTACTGTGAGCAGCCGTGCACCACGCACCACCCCGCATTCCTTTTATTCTCCCTGTCCTCCCCAGCGCCAGATGTTTTTATTCGAACGGTGGGAATTTGAGATCGGGGTGAGTTGATCATAACCGCATCAATTGCCTTCATGTTCGCTTTTTTTCGTCCAACGACCACCATTGATGCCCTGTTGACGCTCGTCTTAAGCACAAGCTCCATTAGCTTGAAACCCGAAGGAAAAAACAACGAAGGAAAAAATTGCGTGCTCATCGCAGCAAGCGGAGGCGGGGAATCGAACCCCAGGAGCTGCTTTCAATTGCACGGGGAAAAGCAACTGTGAGCAGCCGTGCACCATGCACCACCTTCGCTTTCCTTGTCTTCTCTCAATCCTCCCAGGCGCTAAACCTCTTTGTTCAAACCGTGGGATTTGAGATCGGGATAAGTTGAACCGCATCAATTGCCTCTATGTTGGCTTTGTTTCGACCAACGACCGCCCTTGATGGCCCTTTAACCCTCGTCTTAAGCACAGAGTTCCTCCGGTCTGAGAACTCCAAGGAAAATAAATAAGAAAACATTGTCTCGTATCAGCTAAGCGGAGGCGGGGAATCGAACCCCATGAACTGCTTTCAATACCGACATGCAGACTTACTGTGAGCAGCTGTGCACCACGCACCACCCCGCTTTCTTTCTATTATCCCTGTCCTCCCTAGACCCCAAACGTTTTTATTCAAACCGTGGGAATTTGAGATCGGAGTGAGTTGAACCGCATCAATTGCCTCCCTGTTCGCTTTTTTGATATCCTTGCCTGATCTTCGGCATTTGAGACAGAGTGCCTGATTGGAGGCCAGGAGGTCCAATGGTGAGTAATTTGAGTACAGGTAATCAAACTCGGAACTCGTTTTTCTTTTCTTTCTGCTTGAAGTAAGGGAGGGTCAACGACCCCTCCTGCGGCTGACTGAACCGATATGTACCATGGTAATAACTCCCTACTTAATTGTAAAAGCGGCAAAAAAAGAGCTGGGGTTGTTGGGAAGTATGCGAACGCGGGGAGTCGAACCCCATCAACTGCTTTGACGCTCAAACGGTCCTCGAATTCATTGCAGCATGCTCCCTGCACAACCTCCGCTTACTGACCCCGTTCAAGACCGTGCTTAACCCGTACCTCGATCTGACTTTCAAGCCAAAAAAAATGTGTACGGCCAAAGCCATGCGGAAGCGGGGAATCGAACCCCATGAACTGCTTGCAAGAGCACAACAAGTTCCATCGGTACTCGGAGCAGCCGTGCACCATGCACAACCTCCGCTTTCCTTGTTGTCTCTCAGTTCTGCCCAGCCGTTAGGCTTTTTATCCAACCGTTTGAGATCGGTGAGTTGAACCGCGTCAATTGCCTCCGTGTTCGTTCGTTTGACCGTCCCCGCTGGAGTCCTCGGTCATTCAAGACAGAATGACCTGATGGGAAGCCAGGAAGTTCAATGGTAATTTGAATACAGGTACTCAAACCGGAAGTCGTTTTTCTTTTCCCGTTACAGTTTTCTTCTGCAAGCCACGACGACGCCTGCTGCCTGACTAAACGGACATGTATCATGGTAATGACTCCCTACTTACTATAAAAAAAAATGCGGCCACAAAAGAGTGACGCGCGTCGTAAACATGCGGACGCGGGGAGTCGAACCCCAACAACTGCTTAACAAGCGAATCACTCTGTGATTTATTGCAGCACGCTCCCTGCACAACATCCGCTTTCTGACCCTGTTCAAGACCGTGTTTAACCCGTACCGCGATCACTCTCAAGCCAAAAAACAAATGTATCCACAACATTCATAATGCGGAGGCGGGAATCAAACCCCGGGACCTGCTTTCAATCTGCCAGAAAGGCCAACTATGAGCAGCCGCGCACCGTGCACAACCTCCGCTTTCCTCGTTGTCTCTTAGTTCCGCCCAGGTGCCAAACTTTTTTATTCAAACCGTGGGAAATTTAAACCACAGTCCTGTTCTGCCTTCTTAGTACAACGTCCACTCTTCTTACCTGACTGAACCAATAAGTGAATACCATGGTAACAACTCCCTATCAATTGTAAAAAGAGAGGGATGCTGTTCAATGCGGACGCGGGGAGTCGAACCCCAACAACCTACTCTGCCTCAACAATTGAACCACTCCTCGACTCATTGCACAATGTCCGCTTTTCTTACCCCGTTCAAGTCAAGCCCGTGCTGAGCTGAATATCTTGATCTGGCCTTCAAGCCGCCTTCACGCCAAAACAAAGGACTTCACATCATCCTAAAAGTCCCACGGTTGAATAAAAAAAGTCTGGCACCCGAGGAGGACCAGGAGCAGAAATACAACGCTGGGGTTTTGCATGGTGCACGGCTGCTCCAATTTGTCCTTCCTGGCCTCCTGATATGGTATATTGTAAGCGGTTCCTGGGGTTCGATTCCCCGCCAATTCCCCGCCTTCGCATACGTCCCGAAAGAGTTGAATTTTAACCATGTTGGTTTTGAAACCGGGAAGGCCAATGGCAATTTGAGTGCAACCAATCAAACTCGGAAGTTGTCGCTCTTCTCTAGCAGTCAATGATGTACCGCGTCTACTATTCTTAACTGAACCATTCCTCAAGTATTTGTAAGAGCCACACTATGGTTCCATACTTGATTACAGCAAGAACAAAGCGGCACTCTGCGACGCGTGGAGTCGAACCCCACTCCCCGTTCTGGTGGTCGATCATTGATCGCCTTGCTCTTGGGAACGGCTTCCGGACGGATATGGCTCAACTTGCTAGAAAGGGAGCCATGGGAGACGATGCGTTGAACCAGAAGAATGGTAGCACTCTCGCCTTCCTCGTCGATGAAGGCATCATACAAATGGCCACGGCACTAACACCCTTTTTCCGACACATGTTCATTAAATGCGGAGAACAAGGGGTCGTCCAGCAGCCGTCTCCACAAATGAACCATTCCCATGCAGTATGCTCCAAGTCGGGTCGAAAAAAATAATAATCGGTGAACGGGCGCTCGACGTAATACCTACCCTCTTAATCTGTAACACCGCCCCCGACAGAGTTTCTTCCGCTCCTCCTCTCGGACATCTTTTCTCTTCTTCTACTGGTTGCTACGCAGAACCATACATCAGTCGTTCACCTTATGGTGCCCATCTGAGTATTATTCCTATTAACTACGAGACCGGGGTTGGGTCAGGGCCCTTTCGTATGAAATGCTTCGTATGGGTATATATAGTACGTGCTCAACGTTCTAGAGTAACAAATTAACAAGGGAAAACTCATTAAGTTTACACTCAGCTTTACCTTCGAAGGTTTATCTCGCCGGAAAAGAGTCTGTAAACGTGTCTTGACACGACCACGCATATCGGAAGGCTTCGCTGTGGACGGGGTCTTTCGCTCAACAGCCGTATTCATGTTCTCAACCACAACCTGAGTGGTGGGTCGCACGGTCGGATCTTGTGCCCAATACGATGTGACATCCTGCCACAATGGATATGGCAGGCTTCCGTCTTCTTACCTGACTGAACCAATAAGTAAATACCATGGTAACAACTCCCTACCAATTGTAAAAAGAGAGGGATGCTTTTCAATGCAGACGCGGGGAGTCGAACTCCAACAACCTACTCTGCCTCAACAATTGAACCACTCCTCGATCATTGCACAATGTCCGCTTTTCTTACCCCGTTCAAGTCAAGCCCGTGCTGAGCTGAATATCTTGATCTGGCCTTCAAACCGCCTTAACCCAAAACAAAGGACTTCACATCATCCTAAAATTCCCACGGTTGAATAAAAAAAGTCTGGCACCCGAGGAGGACCAGGAGCAGAAATACAACGCTGGGGTTATGCATGGTGCACGGCTGCTCCAATTTGTCCTTCCTGGCCTCCTGATATGGTTTATTGTAAGCGGTTCCTGGGGTTCGATTCCCCGCCTTCGCATACGTCCCGAAAGAGTTGAATTTTAACCATGTTGGTTTTGAAACCGGGAAGGCCAATGGCAATTTGAGTGCAACCAATCAAACTCGGAAGTTGTCGCTCTTCTCTAGCAGTCAATGTACCGCGTCTACTATTCTTAACTGAACCATTCCTCAAGTATTTGTAAGAGCCACACTATGGTTCCATACTTGATTACAGCAAGAACAAAGCGGCACTCTGCGATGCGTGGAGTCGAACCCCAGCAGCTGTCTCCACAAATGAACCATTCCCATGCAGTATGCTCCAAGTCGGGTCGAAAAAAAATAATCGGTGAACGGGCGCTCGACGTGATACCTACCCTCTTAATCTGTAACACCGCCCCCGACAGAGTTTCTTCCGCTCCTCCTCTCGGACATCTTTTCTCTTCTTCTACTGGTTGCTACGCAGAACCATACATCAGTCGTTCACCTTATGGTGCCCATCTGAGTATTATTCCTATTAACTACGAGACCGGGGTTGGGTCAGGGCCCTTTCGTATGAAATGCTTCGTATGGGTATATATAGTACGTGCTCAACGTTCTAGAGTAACAAATTAACAAGGGAAAACTCATTAAGTTTACACTCAGATTTACCTTCGAAGGTTTATCTCGCCGGAAAAGAGTCTGTAAACGTGTCTTGACACGACCATGCATATCGGAAGGCTTCGCTGTGGACGGGGTCTTTCGCTCAACAGCCGTATTCATGTTCTCAACCTGAGTGGTGGGTCGCACGGTCGGATCTTGTGCCCAATACGATGTGACATCCTGCCACAATGAATATGGCAGGCTTCCGTCAGAAGGCTGTTTCGCTCGTTCACCGGCAATGATTTTCAGCATGGCCGTGACCTCAGATAACTCCGAGAATGGAGGGTGGCCTGTGTACAGCTAAAGGAGGTCAGATGGGGATTATATAAGCCTTAGGTGTCTTACCTCCAAACAGACACACGCAAAAGCATAAACATCACTCGCTGGTGTTCGAGTGAAGCGGGTTTTAAATTGTTCTGGGGCAAGCAATTGGGGGGCCATCCAGTAAATACTGCCTGCCCGTTTCGAAGATGTCTGGTTGGCGGTAGCATCAGAGAAACCACTCAAGCCAAAATCAGCCAGACAGGCACTCCAGTCCTGGTTGATTAGGATATTCGCCTGTGGAGTGTTCAGTTGTTGTGGAATATGAATGATTTCTTGGAACTGGTACCCCTCGCAAGTCGCCGTGGACTATATCATTGGAGTGGAGATATTCGAGCCCTTGCGCAACTTCGAAAAGCTATGGGATGTCATAGCTTTACCATGATGATCTCATTTATGGATTGACATATTCACCAGTTTACCAATGTTTGCCCGGCCATGAGCATTCAGATAATTTAAAACGGTGCCATGCTCCATCCAAGGTGAAACCATGCAGAGCGATGAAGGAAAACTTTCGCGGTCGATTCCAATGAAAGTCAAAATATGTGGGTGGTGTAAATCTTTCCAGAGAAGAGCCTCTCGACAAAATTTCTACGGTTCCCACTCAGTCATCCGGCAGGGCTCAAAAGTAGAGCACTCACTAAACGAATGCGGCATAATTCCGCTCCCCGGAGAAAATGGCGCATGTGTTTCAGAGCCACGACCTGACCGTTATATGATGCCCGATAAATATCTCCAAAACCACCACTGAACGTAGGGTGCTCTTCCCGTCCGGCGACCCCAGTGATGAAGAGTGAGGTCGGAAGCTTGTCACAGGATTCGGACAGTTTTCGGATTATACGACGAGCCTTCGAGCTCTGTTCAGGCACCATTAAAAAGCCTTTGTCCAGAGCCTTAGAAAGACCATCAGTTGAGAGGCAAATACGGAGTGGTAGAGAGCCAAACATCCTGGACGGCATCCATGAAACGCTGGGCGGAATCGCCCTCAAGTCCCAACACTGCGGTCTCGAGAGAGTTGGATTTGAATATGGATACTAAATGGGCTGCGAGTTGCTCGCCGTCTGTACGCAAGGCGGTGCGGAGGGTCGGACCGTTTGCAAGCCCAAGTTGAGAGCACAACTTGAGAAGGAAAGGTTGAAGTATACTTTTTATGCAACACAAATGACGTACCTCCAACAACATCGTACGGTGTCTCAAGCTGTTCACAATGGCCCCCACGAGGCTCTCCGAAGATATTGAAAGCAGGTAACCATTGAGAGTCTGCTGGACGCCTTGGACTTCATCCGAGCTTTGGCTAGTTTGGGCACAGGCATTTCTGAGAGATGCAATAACATTCTGTTTAAGAAATCAGCATGTCTTTTGCGCACAGGGAATCTGCTGAATTTACCTGGTACACTAAGATCTCGGTCGCGGGCGTATCCGGTGCGGTAGTGAGCGTAGAGTAGTTAGCC